ATGTATAAAGAATTAGGATATAATCTATTCATCTAAGTATTGAGTTGTTTTTTAGGTCATCATATGGAAATCTTTTGCTGTTGCTATCTTTATTTTTAGCGTTACTAAATATATATGAAAAAAATTTAACATAAATTTCTGATCTATTGATCTTAAAAAAGAAAATTTAATAAGTAAAAAAAATATTTATCCTAAAAGATATATTTATTTAAGATTGATTTCCAAGTATTAATTAATAATTTATGAAAAAAAACATTATCAAATAAAAATTAATTTTTTAAAAATAAATAAATATTGTAATGAAATAAAAAAACAACATGCGTTCTTTCATTCATTCATTCATTACCACGCCAGGAGTTGAAGCGTGCATCATGTATTTTCACTAGTATATAGATCCCATACATGATGTCTACCCGTTTTATTATAGTGGACGGTACCACTATGTAGCCTGTTAGCAAAGTGAAGAAGGAAGAAGTACAATAATGGTGATGTATTAGTTCCGTTTCCGGCAGAATAGTGTTAAGGAAAAAATAAAAATAATGTCATATAAAAAATGTACCTGCGTCCTTAAGTGGTATTTAGTGAGGCAACAAAAAAATAACCCTTATATCTTGTTAAGTATTGAAAGTTTATGTTAAGTTTGCATGAAGAGTCTCTTCCTTGTTTGTTGTTTGGTGTGCCAAAATATTGTATGTCCTGTAGATCTTATATGTTCTGTGCCAATGGTATTTGGGTTCGTCCGATTTATTGCGTTATTATTATAGCCAGTTTATCTTCTCATTGCCTGTTATACAGCTAATATTTTCGTAATTGTTATCGTTATCGTCGCCGATATCGTGTGTCCAGAAAGGAAGGTCGTGGGTTATTAAAGGAAGTTAAGTTATGTTGTTGTTGTTCAGGTTATTATCATTATCAAATACACTTATTCCATTTATTGCAAGAACGTAAAGGTGAAGAACGGTTGCGATATTAATTTAGGCCATATTTTAGCATGTATTGTAAATGTTCCTTTAGGTGTTTCTTGTTTTTGCTAAGTGCCATGAAATCTGCAAACGAGAGGTTAATCAGGTCCATATCTTTCAGACATTTCGCCAACCAATAGTATTTAGGGGTTTTCCACCTACCGTCAGGGCACCATTTCAAGGACAAGAATATCATATTTTCCTGCGAGTGTCTTAAGCTATGGCCTAGTAATTCTAGTCTCCTCATGGGTATGAGACGATTGATTGGTAGGATGTCGCATCTATTCCAGAGCGTTGTATTTGATGTGTTGTATGGGTAATACGTTTTGGTGATTCTTCTAAGGCATTTGTTTATAAAAGTCTGAATTGTGCTGATGTTACTTTTTGAGTCTTGCCAAGTCTCCTGGCCGTAGGTAAAAATGGGTACAATTAGGGACTTGAAGAGTCTTATTTTTAAATTAGTTAATATTTGGTTCCATAATTTCGACAGTTGATGATAGCGGAGTCTAGCATTATTCGTTCTCGATTTCGTATCTAAAAAGGTGAGGCCTAATGACGTTATCCTGGTTCCTAGGTATTTAAAATCTGACACTAATTCTATCGTATTACCCTCAAAGTTAAAGGGGTTTAAGTGACTCGCATCAGTATTTGAGGTGATTAGTTTGGTTTTTGTGTAGTTTACTCTTAGACCATATCCATCACAGTTGTTGACAAATAATGATAAAATATTTCTTAATTTGTATTCTGAGTTGGCTAGAATACATACATCGTCAGCATAACATAGAAAGTTTAAAGAGTTGTGCATACCATTGAGGTGTTGTTGCTCACTGTAATATGTGTTGAGTGCATATTCCTGTTTAAAGGATTTATTTAGGATATCATTCATTATTACATTAAAAATAATCGGTGAAAGGATGCATCCTTGTTTGAGGCCTCTATTTGCTATAAAAGGTTGCGACTTCATATTTAAATGCTGAGGAACTACGCTATGATTGTCGTAAATTATCTTAATTAGCGCTATCAGATGTTTATCTATTCCAATGTTTTCCAGCAAGGGCCATATCTTATTCTGAATTATGGAGTCAAAGGCTTGACTTAAATCAATCATCAGGGCAAAGATGGGGGATTTATGCATTCTGGCCTTTTCCAGAATGACCTTAAGTACCATGGTCAACTCCGTAGTATTTCTGCCCTTCCTGTATGATGTGATAGCATTAGAAAGGAATCTGTTAATGATTGGTTTAATCCTGACTGATATGATGTATGTGAACATTTTTAGTGTGACTGGAATTGGTGCAATACCTCTGTAATCTTTAAGGCAGTTTGGGGACTTATTTTTAGGGAAGTTTAGTATAATTGATGTCATCCATTTTTGTAAGTTAATTTTTAATATACAATACGGAGAAGCTAAGATTAAAATGACTGAAATATATTATCAACCTAAACAACTACCCATTTAAAGTAATAAATGAAAAATCTTGTATAACTGTAGTTTGTTCATATTAAATACCTTAGAAGAATTAAAAAGAAATTATTTAATTTGTAAGTTTATTTTTTATTATACAATACGAAGAAACTAAGATTAGAAAGACTGAAATATATTATTAACAACCTAAACAACTACCTATTTAAATTAATAAATGAGAAATCCTGTATAACTGTAGTTTGAAGGTATATAACATTTCATAAATAGTTTAAGTTTTATAATAAGAGAAACTTCCCAAAATACTGTCAAATAATATTTAGAGGTAGGACTCCTCCTTCCCAATCCTAATGTTCAAGTCGCCCAAGATTATCCAATTACTGCTCTTTGAAAAAGATCGAATTGACATAGACATATTAGTAGAAAAAGATTTAAAATTTGAAGGGAAAAATAAAAGTAAAACTTTTACAAAATGCAGATTTGAGAAGATAGAGGCCTTTTATAGTAATGTGGCAAAAATAATATTTTATTATATTGCCCTCTATTCAAAGGTATACGTTTGGACCGAGCAGAGTTTGTCTTTTAGGGGATAGAAAATCGAGGAGTAGGATAGCTGTGAAATTGGATCACATATAGAGGCACCAATGCAGAGAGTAAAGTACATGAACTATATAGAAATCATAACAGATTGAAGATCAATAAATTCAGAAGAAAAGACAGGCATTAAAGAAAAATTTGGGAGGGGCAGACAGGGGTAGAAAAAAATACGAACGGAAGTACATTAAATGCCATTACCTAGCTAAGTAAAAAAAAAAAATTTTGACCCAGATTCAGGCTGCCTCTTCTAACGTGATTACGAAACCTCTATTCTAATGTATACACTAGAGTACAAGTAAATATTTTGTAGGGGATAAAAGAAATTTGTCGAGGAGCAAATAGTGTAGCTATACATTCAAGCTTAAAAAATTGGGTCACCTTGTAAAAAGTCATCAATAAAGGGTGTAGTCCTTTGGAAACGTCACATAAGAACTAATAAAAGGTCATAGGGAAACGTCATAATAGAACTTGATACCAATTATAATGGATTCTAAGATAAACTAGAAAAAAAAATTAATAGGGCCAAAAACAGGGGAAGAAAATACGAAGGAATTATATTAAGGGAAGTAAAGTAGTAAAAAGAAATTAACCTGTTTCGATGTGTAAGTTTGGATCCGACTCAATTGGGTAAGCAACAAGATAAGGCAAAAATTATTATAAAAGTAAAATTAGCGAAATAAAATTTTTGCAGAAAATTATTAAAGTTTTTTTTAATGATTTTTTAGTTTGTTTATAATAAACACAATGAAAATAATTAGAAACATGAGAGATATACATGTTACAATACTAATTTATTTTCCAAAAAACAATTAAATCCTATTTCGTATTATTTAAAATTGTTTACAAGTTTACATATTTATTTAAAGGAAAAGCTAAACCCATATGGGAAACTAGAAGGAGACAAAAATAAAAAATAAAGGGGAAAAATAAATAAATAACTATAAATAATAAAGGGAGGGAAAAATCCAAAATGGTGACGAAAAGAATAAAAGTTATGCAAGAAGGGGTAAAACAAAAATTATTAAAAGATGGAGGGCGTAAAATGTAAAAAGTTTATTTTGAAAGGGAAAAACAAAAACCATGTGAGAAACTAGAAATAAATAAAATAAAAAATAAGTCATAAAAAGGAAGGGAAAAATTTCAAAATGGAGGTGGAAGAATAATAAGTTATCCAAGGGGTAAGAAACAAATTATTAAAAGATGGACGATAAATTATAGAAAAGTATTAAAGGATAAGGGGGATAAAAAATATTTAATAGTCAATAAGAAAATAACCTAAGTAAAAGGAGATTTATAAAACTTCAAGATTTTATGAAGGTTGACCAGGGAAGTAAATTTATGTTTAAGGGTTTATTGCCTAAGGAAAGACTATAAATTAATCAGGTGCATGGTAAACTGATCCTAAATTTGTGTTTTATATTGTTGCTATGATTATATGTTAAGATTGAAGGTTTCAAAGTGTTTAAGTATAAGGGGATGTAGACAAAACTTGTCTCAAAACAATTATAAATAATATAATTCCTAGTATAAAAGTTTAAATCTACTAACGTGTTTTATATTATTGCTATGATTATATGTTAAGGTTAAAGTTTCAAATCGTTTAAGTATAAGGGGATGTAGAGTTTAAAACTACTAACATGTTTTATGTTATTGCTATGATTATTGTTAAGGTTAAAGTTTTAAATTGTTTAAGTATAAGGGGAATGTAGACAAAACTTGTCTCAATGCTATGTAAATAATGTAATTTCTAGTATAAAGTTTAATCTACTGACACAAAAGCTAATTATTGTATTAATCTTAAGTGAATTTAATTCCTTCCCATCATAAATATAAGAAATATATACATGAGAGATAAAAATAATATACATAAATGGATAAAGCATAGGTATATATATGTAAGAGGTATATAAAAAATAAAATTTTTTACTTTTTTATAACTTTTTTAAATGCAACCATAGTCGCAAGTAACAATAGCCTAGATTTTACGGTATTTATTGCATTTGCGTTGATTACATTGATCACAGCTGTTTAGACTATTCTTTTTTTTTATGTCCAGCATTGAAGAAGAAATTTATGACACCTCAATTAATAAAACATGGTTTATTAATTTATTGGATAAGTATAAAAGGGTAATTTAATTACATATTTATTAAATTTACATATAATTTAAGTAAATCTACAACAATCAGCCTATTTATTTACTAAAACTAATTTTTTCTTACATAATTTTTAAGAATAATTTGTTTTATGAAGAAATTTAAAAAAAATATATATATTAATTTTCTATTGTTAATGAGGTTAGTCATCTCTTGAAAAAAATTAAGAGTTGGAAATATTAATCTATAAATATAATGGTTACCATTACTGGAAAAAATATGATGGTTAAGTTACTCTCATTACCTGGTGATCACTATTTAATCAAAACATGTAATGTTTACAAAAGTTCTTCATTACATTTAAGAAATTTAATCATTCATTTTGTAAGACATACTTTATACACCAGTTTATATATTTTATCAAAATCAATATAATTACATGTATTATATTTTTAATATATCATGTTATTAGTCTAATGTAGCATAATACTTATTAAATTTTCTAAAACATTTAGTTGAATTAAAAAGAATATAGAATTAAGATTTATTGCCCTTTTATTATTTTAAAATTATATAATAATTACAAATAATATTTAATAAATTATAATACCTTTAGATGAGTTCTAATTTTTTGAAGTTTGTTTAGAACCTTTATTATTATTGTAACTTTAGGTAAATAAAGTTGGAATTTTGTATTTACCTTATCTACAATTGATTGCATCTTCATTAGTTTTATTTATAAAAAAAAATTTGATCTAAAATTGAAGGCAATTTTTTTTATTAAAAAAGTATATTTTACTTTACAAATTAAATTATCATATTTATATTTACTTGTACAATTTATGTACAAGATTTCAAATTTATTTGCAAATTATAACTTAATTAACTATATGAAAACTACACTATACTAGTTCAAGGTTATAATATTAACTAACACACAAAATAGAAATATTCGATTATAAAATTAGATTGAAGATAAGAATATGCTTATAGCTGGAGAGAAATAAGTTGATTTAATGTTGTTAACTATGGTAATGACAATGAGAAAAATGTTCCACATAACATTTGCTAATTTAATTTAAGGGTGCTTATAAATTGAAAATCAAAGAAAAACTAGTAACAAATAAAATAAATGAAATCGATAGTAATGTAGATGATGACCTGCCATACTTGATAGAAATCAAGGAATATTTAAAAGAATCTTTATATCTAGAAAGTATAATAACATATTTTTCATATTTAATCAAATATTACTTGGTTGGGTTATGATTGACCCATTTGTTTGGGTGATATCTGATTATTTTTCAAAATCAACAAAAGATTGGGTTTGTATGAAACCCACAATTTTATAAATGCTAATTTTATATTTGTGTTCTTTATTTATACAACTAGAATAACATTGATATTGATATATATCCCCAGTGAATCCACTTGAATATTGGAGAGTTAATGCTGTAAAATATCCAACATTATCAAAACTTGCATGTAAATTTTTGGCGCCTCCAGCAACAAGTGTAACATCTGAGTCTGCCTTCAGTACGGCAGGGGATATTGATAGTCCTCATCGTAGAAGCCTATTGCCTGAAAATCTAGAGGCTCTTATATTTATTTTTAAAAATTTAATATATTATAATTTTATATATTAAGTATTACAATTTTATAATTCATACCAACATAAAATGGATATATTATTATATTTATTTTATCTATTATAATATAATTTTTTTAAAATTATTGTTGAAATAAAAAAATTAAATTAACTTTTGCATAAAAAATATTGATTTCTTAATTACATTTGGTTCAAAGAGGGGTGGCGAAAAATCAATATAAATATCGGTATCGGTGTTTTAAATCAATCGGATCGGTGAAAGTGGATCGGCACAGCCCTACTCTTTAGTAAAATGGCTATCATGATTTAAATTTTTTAAAATTTGCTTTAGTTTTTAAAAAAATTGGAAAAATCTTTTCATAGGATACTCTTCTCCAATATTCTGCAATTATGATATTTTTCAATGCCCCTTTATTCAAGAACTTTCATTTGGTAAAACCCGTTTTGGTAGATTGATTCACCATTGTTTAAGTTACAGATCTTACAAGGAAGGAAAAAATCTGCATCAGCTTCTTAATTATTCAACCTATAAGTATTTATAAAACTTTAAAGAAAATCTTCCATTATTACTAATAGTCTTTTTGAGTGATGTTGGTATTGTTGTTAAAAACCCCGATTTGGATCGATTTTTAAATTAAGATTTTAGCCAAAATAATATTATGCAAGCCTCATCACATGACATGGTAAATAGATGTTCAAACCTTTGTGCTATTTATGACCAAAATCTCCAGACTTACATAATATTATTTCGATTATAATTTTGATTAAGCCATTTTTTAAAATCGACCCGAATCGGATTACACCATTAGATGTTGGCCTATTTGGTGATACCTGATTTAAATCAGTTGTTTGTAACACATTTGCAATAAAAATAACTATCTAACCTATTCATTCCGGCTCATTTTCCTTATTCTGAATCTTGGCATCTTGATCATTTTCATTTTTTTACCAAATTAGTTACATTTTCCTACTTTCAATATGAGGAACATTGGCGCAATTACGTATTTCAGCAGACGTGAATAAATAGTAGGGGTGTACCGATACCACTTTTTGGAGGTCGATCCGATATTCCCGATATTAAATTGATATCGGCCGATTACCGATCCTATATCTAATTTTGTATTCTGTAAAGATACCAATTAATTTTTAATATACTTTTTATTAGTATAACATCTGTAATTTAACTATACCATAACTTATGTCATTTAAATATACTACAATGATCAGTTATAGTTTATATTCAATTATTGCAATTTTAAAAGTATATAAAATATTTTTATTGTTAAATCATTTTTATATAATAAGTAATAACATTAATCTATATACATAATAAGTAATAAACAAATATATTATGAAATTTGAAATAAATATTTAAAATAATATTTAACATTAATATATCAAAGATTTCTTTTTAGAAATACCAAAATTTCCAATTTACCAGAGGTCAGCCTACGGCGATGGTAACTGTCAATATCACCAGCTTCACTAAAAACAGATTCTGAAGAGATTATCGCATTCTTTTATAAACAGAATGCGCAAAAAAATAACAATATGGCAGAATGTTTATTAATTAATTATTATTATTAAATAAATATACATAAAAATGGATTTCGATTTTATTTATAAAAATAGATGATTTTAGATATAACTTTTTAAAAAATTTTTTAACATTTTATTTTTGTTAAAGGCCCCTTATATCGGATCGGATAGGAAAATTTTATAATATTGGCCGATAACCGATATTTTAAAATAGGTGAAATATCGGTTCGATCCGTTAAAAAATATCGGTACATCCCTAGTTAATAGTTTTTTTACACCGATAGTGGTTTGGACAACAGTTATTTCTTCCCATTACATTCTTCTTTTTTTAAAAAAATTATTGGGGGTGGGGGTCCCAAAAAAAATAGGTTTAGAATTGGGCCTGACCGTGACGTACACTTATATTATTAATATTATATATTATTTTAGTTTATGTGAATAAAATTTACTAAATGTCAACAATGTGTATAAATTATAATATTAAATGTTTTACATTCAAAATTGGAGACTAAATTTTTTATTAAAAATAGTTCTATAAATTAGATTATGTTAAATTATTCTGTGTTTACTTATACAAATTATTTTAAATTTACTTGCTAAAATTATGACTTAATTAACTAATAATTATTTTACATTATACTATTTCAAATTTATAATATCAACTAACTTACTGATTATCTCCTTGACTTATATTATTAATATTATATATTAGAGCTTAACCTTTGTTGCACAGGTGGGACTATGTAGACCCCAGTCATATTAAAAACGGTGTTACTGAAAATTCTTTCGATATTTTTCTGAATCTTTTAGTAGCGTAACATTTTAGGTAAAGTATATATGTGCAAAATTAATTTTGATTTCATTCAGTAGTTCATGAGTTATAAGGGTTTTTTGGAGTTTGGACCTGTATATACCCCACTTGATCACCCGTGTAACTTTTTTTAAATCTGTTTTGGCATTGATATATTAAGCATACTGTTATAATCGGGGTCATTTATCTTTATTTTTTTAAATCTCTATTATTTTTTTATGCGTAAATGTGTAACAACGGCTCACGTATTTGACTTTGGATTATATAATTTGTAAGACTCAAGATGAGTACTATTTTATCTATTTTGGAGAATTTATTTTATTGTATGATATAAAAGGGCCGATTTTTGCCAATATTGTATCATTACTACTTTATTTTTTCCATTTTATTTTAAAATAAAATTCTGAGTTTTTAAAGAAACAAATCAAAAGAAAGACGATCCTGGATTCTATCCTAAATTTGTCAATTTTTCCCGATTTGATCCTGACTTAAATTGAGGATCATGATCGAGATCATTTTGTTTAATATTCGACGATCCTTTTAAAAATTAATTTTTTACTTAAAAGCAATAAATAAAATAAAATTTTGAAAATTAAATTAAAATATTATTTTTTTAAAAAATATCTAACTACATCATATTTTATCAACTTCCATTCCACCATATTTTATATTTCAATTTCCTAAATTTTATCTAGAACATTTACGAGATTTAGAGCCTACAAGTTTTATATATTTAATTATATTATATATAATATAAATTAATTCTAGGTTTTAATAATGTCCATTATAGATTTAGAAGATAATAAATCTACTATTGATGTGATAGCAATAAGCGAGAATGAGAATCTTTTACCATTTAATGAATGTATGGATGAAATACCTTTTTTGGGAAAAATTCTTCACAAAATACTCGTTCAATTAAAAAAATTCTAATGATGATTCAATGAATATTTGTAATTACTTATATTATTAAAAAATATATTTATTGAATATAACACATCTTTGCCATCATGTGCTTAATGAAAGACGTGGATGTTTAAATGATAACTTAGAAATTTTTTTATTATTAAAGGT